ATGGTCAGCTCTAGATTGTTAAGGCTGCACTACAAAGCCGGTTGTTCCCCCTTCCACCTATTGTATATGCAGACTCAACATTGTCTCGAATGAGGCAAATGACCATGATATCATCTCCAAACTTCAGAACTTTAACAAACAGTTAAACACTTTCTTCTTTTTCATTCTAGTTTAGTTTATATTAGTTTTTATTATAGTTATGAAGACTTTCAAACAACAAACAGAAAATATGATCCACAAAGATGGAAACATGCATACTTGTGAAATTATATTAAATAAATATTAATTTATTTTATTCCCTTTAAAACATGTTCTTTTGATGAGTGCTGTTTTAAGGAACTGGGCATACATGTTTAATAATAAATAAAATTTACTGTCACTCTATTGTGTATTCAGTCAAAGTCAGAATACTGTATGTCAATGCCAACGTTTGTTGGTCAAAGAGGGAAAGCTGCAATAAGGAGGTTTGATTTTAATACAATGGGTCCTCCTTCTGCTGATGCTACTAATACATATTGCTTGCAAGGCTGAAGAAGAGCCTAGGGCTGGGGAAGAAACATTCCCCTGCATAAACTGGAGAGATGATGATATTGATATCCTAGGCATTTACTATTGTATTCTGTTGCCAAGAGTTGAGGGTAAAGAAAGAAAATAAATTGAATTCTTTTTTTTAATGTCTGTGACACATAATGGTAGCAGTAAGAGGCTGAGAGGCTGTCCCTTATTACCAAAGATAATATATTGTGAGTTCAAGGATCACATGCTATAAGAGCACTTCAAACTTGCATTTGAAGATCAGTGCTGTACTGACTACATTGATTGCAAAGGATTAGTAGCGGGAGGACTTCAGGCATCTTTCAATTCTGAGGATGTTTAAATCTGTGTTTATGCATTATCTGAGAGGTCTTCCAACCTTTGGTAGCAGGTGGTAACTCATGTTTCTAACTAGAAAAAGTTACCTGTTTTCAGGTAAGGAACACAGCTACACATTGGTTGAAGCAGGCGTAATACATCAATGTGATTCAAAGCATCAGATCTGATATGTGTGCTGTTGCATAAGATGATTTTGGATTACCAGCCATTCAGAATATTTTGGATTAACTGATTCTAGTGCCTGTTCCATATAGTTGGCCCAGATTACCAGTTCCTTTCACTTCAAAAGCTGGTGATACTTCTCTATCATTGATGTCATGAACATGTTTGTGGACTGCTGTAAGCAACAAGTCTCAATGTTTACGTCCACTTCATGCCAGACTTTGAACTACTTGAGTTAGAGTGCTGTATCCATCAGGAGACCTTGTTTGTCCTAATTGGCATTGTACCAGTGCTCTTATGCACATGTGGTATAAGACTATTGGTTATTTCCACCAAAAGGGGAGGAAAATCCTAGTATCATATCAAACAACTTATACTGGATCACTCAGGATGTCCCACCAATGGAACTTTGGTTACCTGTGGTTCAAATGAAGCTGGATTTTATGTTGGTGGGTTAATGTGTATCATACTTAAAAGAAAAGTAGATGGAATGCTAGAGGTAACATCAAAGATATGCACTGTTTTTTGAGCATCCTCTATATTTCTAAAATTCACACAAAAATAGTGTCAAATATATTAATACATCTTGGTTTAACTGCTGTTTAGTAGGGACATGTGCTGTGGATTACTTGTCCCCTGAAGGTATCTAAAGTGATTTTGGTTTGTTGGCTGTTGGAGATTTGACTATGACTATGCTGTTTCCATCATTTTTAGTTAGCGTCATTAATCAAATCCTGCACCTTCATTAAGCATGATGTTACGTGGTTGCCATTTGCAACCTCCTGCCTGTTTCCCCATTTATTTTGTTTGTGAGAAGCTGGCACTGAAGGTCACGGATGGGGATCACATGACTGCAAGATGCTGCAGCATAATTAATTGTGAGTCTTAATCATTAGGATTGCTATCATATAATTGGGGGGAGCAGAAATAGTCAGAACTTCAAGAACTGGTGGTAAGTATCACTTGTTTTTTGAATGGTCACCATTAAGTAACCATTAAGCAAGGGCCACCTGTAAAGTTTAATCCTAAATGTTGAATGGAAGAGCATGGATTATAAATCTTTTTTAAACCAAAATAATTTCTAAGTGATATGATCAAACATCTGATATTCAAGGTTTTATAGGTCTTGATCATAATAAAAGCGGAACACAGGGATCATATTAATTTACAAGTGATAATCTAAAATATATTTCTGATAGTATAAAATACATTTGACAGATATGGATGCTCTATGGTTCTATATGTAAGGAAGAAATAAAGGATTAAGAACATTTTATTTCTGGATGAAAGATTGCAACTCACAGATATGTCCAATGTAAAAAACTATTTTTTATATATATGTCTTTTAAAATACTAAAAATGCGAATCCTGGGCATTATGTTAACAAATAAGAGAAAAAATCCCGATCTCCTGCTATTCTAACTCTGATGACGCTGGCAGTTTTTGGCCGGACGAAAGCTTAGGACTTTTTTAACCACAGACTTGTTTATATTAAACAGGCTGGTTTATTTTATCCTGGTTTGTTTTTTCTGTTATTTGTTAATATATATATATATATATATATATATATATATATATCCAAATTTCTTTTTTTCTGACAAAGAGTAAAGAATTAACTTGGGAGACTAAGATGGACCATTTCTGGCTTTTTTGCCTTCATCAGTTAGCCATACCCTTTATGGGATTCGAACCTGGAAAGTTATACATACTAGGCAGTGATTTAGTCACTGAGCCACAGGTTCTCTTCCCCCCTTTTGCCAGCAGAGTCAAGGGAGTAATTATAGGGAGTTCAGACAGATCAGTCTGATTGTGAACACCTTGACATTTTCAACTGCATACTGCAGTTTTACTCTTTTTACAGTATCTCTTGCCTTGCCGCCCCCAACT